ACATCTTTGTCTGTATGTGGTGCTGAGGATCGAACCCGGGCCGCACGCATGCCAGGCGAGCGCGCTACCGCTTGAGCCACATCCCCAGCCCCAGTTACGGAATTTTTGAATCTATCCTCCCACAGAAACTGGGGGACAGAGCCCTACCAGGAGATTACATTTCAAAGGAATGTCTCTAAGGTCCTTGAAAAAGATACTTTTAAGTTGTGAGAGATATATATTTATAATTGTAAGCCCTTTTTAGTACTTGCTCTAAGAAGGGAAGATTGGGGGCCTATGTCAGGTTTTAGCTAGAATGAACAGAAAAATCTGCCTGTTAAGCTTTTTTTCTTGCAGGGATGATAACTTAGGCTGCTAAAAGCAGCCATGCTAGAGTTTGGTCAAGTGCAGGGGTTCATATGAAGTTCTTAAAGTGCTGAGAGTTTGCAGTTCTTACTTAACAGTGTTTTTAGATTCATATTAATGCCTGTTATCAGTAATTGATGATTTTTATTGCTGAGTAGTGGTCAAGTGCCCCTGAGTTCAATTCCCAGTACTCTCCCCTCAAAAAAGCACTTAACTTTGTTGAGTAGATAGAAAAAGCTCTGGGCTTCCTCAGTTTTCTTGTTCTTCAAAGGATGATGTTCTTATATTAATAATAATAAGCTCTAGTTTTTTTCTTATGGTTTTAGGGTCAAGATTAGTAACTTTTAAATGTTTTTACCTTTTTCCCTCAGATTTGGATCATACAGCAGATGTCCAGTGAGTATAGCAGGAGTTTGTTCTTTTGAAATCATGTATCAAAATATGAAGGCTGAATATTTTAATCTGTGTGTTCCTATCTTATTTTTCTACTCTGTTTATTCGTAACATAAAAATGGTGATTTAAAAGCACTCAGTTAGGATGCCATTAAATTGAGGTCATTAGTTTTGTACTTGTCAAGCTGATTTTATTTGACTTTGCTATTGAGGGTTTTTGTTTTTTATTTTTTGGTGCAGTGAAATATATTACACAGAGAGCATGAATGTATTTCTTTAGGTTACATGCATGGGGAGATACTCTGGAGGAAGCATTTGAGCAGTGTGCAATGGCCATGTTTGGTTACATGACAGATACTGGGACTGTGGAGCCCCTCCAAACAATAGAAGTAGAAACCCAAGGTAACTAACGCATTCACAGGGAAAAAATTGTTATGTAGATATGCAGTGTTTTATATAATCTGAGTGTATTTTCACAATAAGAATAACAAATTGGGCTGGGATGTAGCTCATTGGCAAAATGTCTGCCTTGCATTTGCAAAGCCCTGGGTTCAACTCCCAGTTCCAAAAAAAAAAAAAAAAAAAAAAGAATAACAAACTGCTGAGCATGGTGGCGCATGCAAGTAATCCCAGGGACCTAAGAGACTGAGGGGCAGGAGGATTGAAAGTTCAAAGCCTGCCCTAGCAACTTAGTGAGGCCCTAAGCAATTTAGTGAAACCCTTCTCTAAATATTAAAAAAAAAGGCTGGGGATGTGACTTGGTGATTACATGTCCCTGGGTTCAATTCCTAGTACCCTCTCCCTCCATAAAAACCCTAAACAATAAAATAATTAATTATGAGCTCAAATTTCCACTTTCAGCTAACCTAAGAAATTCATTACACTTTTAAATTGGAACAAGATTTTAGATACCAGAATTATTAAACTCATACTATTATGGTCCTTTTTGATCCTGTGTAGGAGATGACTTACAATCTCTTCTGTTTCACTTTTTGGATGAGTGGCTTTATAAGTTCAGTGCTGATGAATTCTTCATACCCCGGGTAAGCAGGGTTTTTCTTTTTCTTTCTTTYTTTTTTTTTTTTTAATTGAGCAAATGGGTTCTTAGTTCATATTTAAAATTGAACAATTGATTTAAAATAGAACATGTGCCAGGCATGGTAGCACATGCCTGTAAYCCCAGTTACTTGGGAGGTTGAGGCAGGAGTATCACAAGATGGTTACCAGCCTCAGCAACTTAATGAGATCCTGTCTCAAAATTTTAAAAAATAGAAAGGGCTGGGGATATAGCTCAGTAGTAAAGCTGGTATTTAACCTTGGGTT